TATATTATATATATATCATATATATATTATATTTTGTATATATTTTTTAAGGCAGAATGGTATACTTTTGTTCTCCTATTTAGCATGGAGGCAGGAAGATCATGGGTTTGAGTCCAGCCTGGACAACTTAGAAAGATCCTGTCTTAAAATAAAAAATACTTTTAAAAAGGACTGAAAAGGGCTGGGGATGTAGTTCACTTCTCCCTGAGTTCAGTCTCTGGTACTGGGATGGGGGAGGGCAGGCAGCATAGCACTGAAAATTGAAATCCTATAAACTGAAACCACATGGTTCTCACTTGCTCAGCTTCCACAGGTTATTGATTGTTCAGGTGAAGCTTATGTGGACAGTCAGCCTTTGAGAGTCCCCGGTCCTATGCTCTGTTCCACAGCAGGCATAAGAAACTCAGTCAGTTTTCCCAGGAAATGTATCCACGTCCCACTACTGTTTCCCATTATATCTTCAGCACAATACTTGGGGTGGAAAAAAACTTGGAAGTAAATATATCACAGTATGGGGTTAATACAGAGGTTTTTTTAAATGCTGAGTACTATTTGAATGAAACACCCTAGTTCATGGATTCCCCAATGATGCCAAATCTTCTTAATTGATATTGCTTCTTTATAAATAGCAAAAACCTCATTACCCAATGATTACTCTTTGTATGCCTGCTATGTACCAAACTCTCTACTGGGCTCTGGACACATAATGTAAAAAGACAAGAAATCCAGTCACAAACATGTTCTAATGAGAGGAATGCAAAACATGAAGAGAGACTAAAATAAAGAATTACACATTGTGATGAAAAAGCAGGGTGAATAGAAAAGAAGAGGGACAGGTGGGATAAGATGTAAACAGCTGGTAAGAGAAAGCTTCTCAGAGAAAGTGTCATTCGAGATGAAAACAGATGAACGAGAGGAGGCCAGCCAAGAGCCAGGGTGGGAAGAGCTTTCCAGACAGTGGGAATAGCAAGTGCAATGCGGATCAGGAGACTGGTTCTAGAAGGAGGTGGGAGTAGGTGGAGATGCTGTGGAGCCTGATACCCCCTGATGTCCACTGCAGTGTCTTTTCCATGGAGAGCGGTGAGCTCACTCATTCCAGCTGCAGAGAGAAGAATAGCTTAAGAGGAGATGCTACAGAAGAACGCTGGTCTAGGCATCAGCATTAGCATGGGATGTACCTAGGCCAGTGAAATATAGGTTAGAATAGTTAAAATGATAAATTTTGTGTTACATATATTTCACTACAATAAAATAATCAATATGGACAGGAAATGGTATTTGCTTAATATGCATCGCCATGAATGTTGTTTCTTCCCATCTCAGACCAACGGGAGCTCCAGGAAGCAACGAGCAGTACAATGTGGGAATGGTCGGAACGCACGGGCTGGAGACCTCTCACACAGACACTTTTAGCAGCAGTATTTCAAGAGAAGGAACCTTGATGATTAGAGAGGTAAGCTGATATAACTGGAGAGCAAGTGCTTTTCTGTAATGGTTTTTATATTAGAGTGTTTACAGAGAATGCTTACAGCATGAATTTAAGCATGCGGAATGAGGGGGAAAAACCTGTGCTTCTAAATGGTTGAGTGATTTTAATTGTCTGCGCCTTCTTTCCTGTATCCTTCTCAGATTTTGCAATGTGACTTAATTATATTAGTTCTAAGTTCTTCAGTCAGAGCTATGCAAATCAGAATATAAAATTTGAGCCTGAGGATATAAAACTGGCAAACCCAGATGTTTCCATGAAGACAGAAATGAACAGTTTCTCTGAATAGAATCAGTGGTTTTGTTAGCCTTCCCTTACTCCACGGTTTTATCCTTGAGGATTTCATGTGGAAAATGCTCAGTAGTTCCAAGAAAGGGTGGTACCATCTTATCTCATTAAATTAACACTTAAGAAGAATAAAGAAACATGAAGATATACTTTAAAATGTATCTTAGCACTTTGTTGTTGGTTTTTGGGTTTTTGGTTTTTTTATACCTCCGGGAACATCATGTTTTGGGTGAGAAGCACTTACGCCCTTTCATCTACCCTTCCATCACAGAACAACCTCCCCCTCGTCTCTGCCAACCAGTAGGGTCCTGACAAACTAAACTCTGTCTTCCTCTTCACTTCACCATCAACGTGCAAGTTTGAGAGTAGCTCTCTACTTAGAAGGGAAATAATAGGAAGTTAGCCTGGGGCAAATGTTACCTGACCTCCCTCTCCCTGAACCTATTTTACCATAAATAATAGCATCAAAGGTTGTAAGTAATAGCATAGGATTTATAAGGTGGTTGAGAATATTAAATGAGTCAATAAATATAAATGTCCAGTGAATTTTACCTATTTTATTTTACTCCTCGTAAATTGAATTCTCCTTTACTTCTTGTCACAACCCACCCTTCCCTCTGAAACAAACATGTATCATCTATCAATGTCCTTTATATCCAGGAGGCAGTTGGGAAACTCGAATGGCAGATTTGATCAGCAAAAAAGGCAGAGAGTGTCTCTCACTTTTGTAAGGAAGGAACTGTAGTTGGGAGATGAATAAGGTCTTTGAAGTAATAATTGGCAGTGGGGCTCTAACTAGGAGACTAGCTCACAGAGCAACTTGCTAGAATTTCATTTTATGGCCTTCTCAGATCTTTCCAGTAGGCTTTGAAGAATTCTTTCACATATGCCTGGAATGAGAAATGAGTTTGGCTGCTGAAGTTGATGTCGTGTAGTACTGGAATCTCCCACGTGGTGCATGGTACTTTCAGTGGAAGTGCGCAGGTCTTCTGGCTCTAGAGCTTGCCACTTGGGAAACATGGGGAAGAATGTTCAGGACTGAGTTACTCTCTAACTCCAGATAAAAGAACTCTAATTTCCAATGTGGTTTTAAATTTCCCTGAGTCTTTATGATAGAGTCAGTACCTCCAAGTAGACATTGGTTGTCAGCCAAAATTCTGATTGGTCATCAGAATGACTTCATATTATTTAAAGCACTCCAAGATTGTATAGCCACAATCATTCATGTTGAAAAATCACATTTTTTCAACTTGTACATGTCTTGTATGTGTCTGATCTTTTGAAGGACCATCATGGTTTCTCCCTTTAAGTTTCAAAATTCTGCCTTTCCCAACTGTGAGTTTTAAAAATAGCAAATTTTGTTAGTTGAGGTTTGCCAGAGAAACAGAATTTTTCTGTATGGAGAAAGAGGAAGGGACAGCAAGAGGAGAAAGCAGAGAGAGACAGAGACAGGAAGTGGTTCATAATTTTCTCGAGACTGAGAAGTCCAGTGATCTGTCATCTGCAAGCTGGAGACCCAGGAAAGCTGGTAGTCTAATCCCAGCTGGTAGGTAAAGATGAAAGATGTTCCAACTCAAATAGTGAGGCAAAAAATGTTGGGGGAGGCAGTTCTTTCTTCTTCTACTTTTTGTTCTAGTTAGTCCCTTAGTAAATTGGCTGGTGCCTACACAACATGGGAATGATAATCTACTTTACTGAGTCCCTCCACTGCAGGTACTAATCTCTTCGCCAGAAACACTCTTACAGACACAACCAGAAATAATGTTTAATCTGGACACCAATGGCTTATTTGGGTTGACACATAAAATTAAATATCACGCAAACCTTTGAGTTAAAAATGTATTAAAAGTGCATAGAGTAATACCTCAGTTCACAAATACTTCTGTTTGCAAACAGTTCAACTTGCAAACAAAATCATTCAGAATTTTACTTTTGTTGTAAAGCTCACATTGGGTGACATACAGGACCGTGGCCATCTTCCCCACACAAACAGAAGCACAGCCATTTTCCCCAAAATAATAAAATAAATTAAGCTTGTATAATGAGGCACCCCAATTTATTAAAAAGATAAATGCAGTCTAAAGAATGTCCCTGAAAAAATAATAAAGTAAAAACTCATTATAATAATATTTAGCTTATAGAGTACTGTTATCTCAGCTCTCCAAGGTAAACATCAAGAGCTCACTCAAAATCCAGTCATGTGGTATATGCCTGAAATCCCAGCACTTGGGAGGCTGAGGCAGGAGGATTGCTGTAAGTTTGAGGCCAGCCGGCTACATAATACTCAAAATCCAGTCATGTGGTATATGCCTGAAATCCCAGCACTTGGGAGGCTGAGGCAGGAGGATTGCTGTAAGTTTGAGGCCAGCCTGGGCTACATAACAAGTTCAAGATGAGCCTAAACTACATAGCAAGACCCTTTCTCGAAAAGAAAAAAAGAACTGACTCAAGTCATTCTCATGTGAGTGTCTCTGATGGTCCTGTAGGATCTTACTGGCTCTGCTACCCAAGATCCTGTCAGATGCATAGACTTTCCCTATATGCACTCCTGTCCTGAGGTTACTGTCCCTGAACTTCTGCTTTTCCCTGTCCTATCATTTCATGGGACGATATTTTACCCTAGTTCAGAAACATACCGCAACAGCTCCGATATGCCATTTGACCACAGTGCTTGTCATCATGAAGCCTTTTTGGGTTATAAATAATAAGAAAAGAGCACACTTTAGCATAACTTAAGGATAAAAAGTAGGTAGGTATCAGAAATGGAGCAGTGAAGATTCAGAGGTGTTCCTCGGGGAAGGGTCCCGTAGGGAGAACGTGTGCTGGGCCCTCTGTAGAGCTAGAGCTAGGTAGTACAAAGCGACAGAAACATGAGCCGCTTCTCGTGTGTGTCACTGTCTGTCTTTCCTCACCCTCACCTCTGATTTCCTCCACATTCCTCCTCTGCTGTTTTCCCCAGATAACTTTCTTCCCCTCTCCATATTTGGGCTCTCACCTCTCCTCACTTCATTGCAAGATATTCACCACATCCTAGTTCAGCTACTGGCAGACATTAACCACATTCCCTCAGGCTTGATATTAAATTTTTATTGGAAATCTGGCCCCACTTGGCTGGCTTGGGTGTCCACTGCAGGTCCAATCCGCTATAGCCAGGAGTAGAGCCCTCTAGTGCAACAATGCAATCCAGGGCGTCTGGGTGGGCTCTGTCACCAGACAGCCTGGGTTTTGCCACTTAGAGCCTTATCCCTTGAGACAAATTAGTTGACTTCTAACACCATGATTTTCCCATCTGTAACATGAGGATAATGGAAGCTAGTCCATGGTGTTACAAGGATACTTCATGGTTGCCTGGTTCCAAAAAAAAGGAAGACCATGGTGGAAGGAATTAGGGGAAGAAAGCAGCTCGTATCATGGCAGCCAGGAAACAGAGAGAGAAGGGAGGAGGCAGGACAAGAATAAACCCTTCCAGGTCATGCCCTCAGTGACCCCCCTGCAGCCAGGCCTCACCTCTTAATAGCACATTCAGCTACTGAACTTACCAGTGGATGAATAGCACCCCATGACCCAGTCACCTTCCAGATGCCTCACTTCTGAATACAAGTCTTTCGGGGACATTTTAGATCTAAACCACAGCAAGGATTCAGTGGAATGCTGTTCATAAAGTATTTAGTACAGTACAGACGAAGGTTGGTATGCAGAACCTCTGAGTGCTGGTTCACGTGGGGATGGTGAAGGCATGAAAACCAGAAACAGAATTGGAGTTCTGTTCATGAAATCCTAGAGGACGGGGTTGTTGCTCATTTATATTTGTGTTCTCAGTAGAATGCCTGGTACATGACTCAAAGAAGGTGTTGAATAAGATGGTACTTATTGAATGAACCAAGAGATGATGACTCAGAAGTGGGCAAATTCAGAAGCGCTGCTTCAAGCTTCTCACTGTCTGGGCTACGTGTCCTGGTTAGCGACTTCAGGTCTTTCTTTGTTAACCAGTGTGTCTTCATCAGGTTTGGGCTGAAGGCTGAAGGCTACTGACATAAGGCTGAAAAGTTCTGAAGTGACAAGATGTTCTTTATGCTCTGGGGAAATTGGTGCAAAATGTTGAAAAGCTCCTCAGTATTTGAACAAAAGTTACAGAAAAGAAAAATTTCTCCAGTGCACAAAAAAATTGGGGACAATAAAATAAATGAAGATTGAACTCCCTAAATATTGTTTAGAAGATAAAATCTTCAACTCTTGGCAAAGGCACTAATACAAGTTCTAGATGAGCACTGTGGCAAAATAAATCCAGAAGAGGCCCCTCTCTCTGGCAGTTTGTAGTCCAGGATTAATGTTGCCAAGGAACAGAAGACACTGGTCTTTCCATTTATTTCTCTGTCCCCTCATAACATCAATTTGCCCTTCAGAAGCCTTGGAGTCTATTTCGTCTCACAACAATAGTAACGAAAAGTACCTGTTTTTACTTCCTGAGAATGGCAGGTGCAGAGCTGAAACTGTAAGGCCAAGAGAGGCTCTGGAAGGAAGAAGCCAGACCAGGGAATTAAGGACTGGAAAGAGAGAAGGGAGAAAAGGAAATAACTACTTCAGGAGGTCAGCTTTAAGAGTCCTCCATGGGCTAGTTGCATGTTAAACAAAGAAGTTGCAAGACTGTGGACAGTCTTGCAAAGGAAACAATCAGCAGTGAAGAGACAACCTACACAATGGGAAAAAATACCTGCAAACTATATATCTGACAAGGAATGAATATCTAGATTATACGAGGTGTGATTGACAAATACGGTGAATACTTAAATTTTGAAAAATTATTACAGTAAAAGACACATTACCGTTAAACCCCCTCGAAATATTCCCTCACTTCTAACACATTGATCTCATTGTCCCTGCCACTTTCTGAAACAGCTCTGGAAGTCCTCTTCCGTGAATGTCTGTAGTTGCCCTGTCATGGCTGTGTCAGTGTCCTGAATTGATTCAAAATGTTTACCTTTCCTGGTCATTTTGAATTTGGGGAAGAGCCAGCAGTTATATGGTACCAGAACTGGTAAATACGGTGGATGAGGACACACTGCAATGCGTGTACACGTCTATCTTTTCATTGGACCACACTCAGTAGTTTTTTTATTAGTACCTGTTTGCAGAACATGATTACATTCATTGTATGGAGTTGGTGCATGTACACTGTACTTTGTGTCACACTTCATAAAGATGTTCAAGACAGAGGACTTCCAGAACTGCTTCAGAAAGTGCCAAGAATGATAAGTGTGTTCAAAGTGAGGGGGATTAGGGGACAGTGTGTCTTTTACTATAATAATTTTGGGTCTAAACCACCATTTTTTAAATAAACTTTTGTATAAGAAACCCAAAAACCTCAATAGCAAAAAACAGCTCAAGTTAAAATAGGCAATAGAGCTAAAAAGTTATTTATCATACAAATGGCCAACAGGTATATGAAAAGATACTCAGCATCATTAGTAACCATGGAAAGCCAGTCAAAACCACAATGAGATGTCACCTCACCCTAGTAGGCAAGAATATAGTCAAAAAGAGTACAGAAAAATCCTAGTAAAGATGTGAAAAAAAGTGTGCACTTGCAGACAGTTAGTAGAAATGTAAGTTAGTACAGCCATTATGAAAAACAGTATGGAGGTTCTTCCAAAGCTCAAAAATAGCAATTCTAGTACTGGGTATATATTCAAAAGAAATGAAATCACATGTGAGACATCTGCACGTCTATGTTAATAGTAGCACTATTCACATCAGCCAAGAAACAATGGAAAAAACCCAGATATTGGGGACTTCTACCCCAAACATGATTTCAACTGTCCCTCATGCAAGTGTATAAATATTTATCTACTAAATATTAGTAAAGCTTCTTTTTTCTTTTCTTAGATAAAATAGAAATGTGAATGTTGCCTTCCCATACCCCGTGGGTCAGTTTGGAGTCCCTTGCATCTGTTCTGTGTGAGGAGTGATGTTGCTCTGTGACCTTTTGCTTCACTCTCTAATGGTGCCATGTGTTGTGCCCCTTCAGACAGCTGGAGAGAAGAAGCGATCTGGCCACAGTGACAGCAATGGCTTCCCTGGCCACATCAATCTCCCTGACCTGGTGCAGCAGAGCCATTCCCCAGCTGGGACCCCACCCGAGGGCCTGGGGCGTGTTTCCACCCATCCCCAGGAGATGGACTCCGGGACTGAGGTAGGCGGCTGGGCAACAGCCAGCGCCATACTGTTCTCTTCCGTGGAGTTCTGAAACTTTGCTGTCTTCAAGAGTGAGGCTTTGCCAAACTCCCTTAATTGTGTTTGGTTGATTTCCACTAGACAGCTGCTCATGCATATGCTCAAGTAGACAGCTGAGGGGTGCAGAGCAGTGAAAACCTCTCTGGTGACATCTGGACCAATACCTGTTTTCACAGGTGACCGTCCTGAGGCTCAGCAAATTCAGTTAGCTTGTGACTGAGCCTTCTATGTCACCAGCCAGAAGTGGGACCGTTTATGTCACAGCCAGTGATAGAAAGTTCGAACTATTGAGCTAGTTGAGGTTCATATTTAAATTAATTTAGCAAAACTAAATTTACTAAATACAGTGGTACCTCAATTTATGAACTTAATTTGTTTTATCATGTGGGGGAAGATGGCTGCATTTGTGTTTCTGTGGGGAAGGTGGCCGTGGTTGTGTTTGTCACCCGATGCAGACTTTGCAAATGGAAGCAAACTGAACACTTCTGTTTTCAAACCGAATTACTTGCAAACAGCAGCTTCATGAACCCAGATGGAAATGATTTTTTTAAAATGGAAATTAATGGTTTCTTATGATGTGTTCAAGTTCCTAAACTCCAAATTGCATGAGAAGGGAGAAATAAGGTATTACCTTTCCTAAATTCAAACAGTCCCAGGAAAGATCCTGAAGGAACACAGTCCGGTGGTGCTGACAGATAGCATCCACCAGTGTGATGAGCTCATGAGGCTTGGTCATGTTTCATCAGTAGCCGTTTGCATCACAAATAGGCTTCGTATGTGTTTATAAACGTGTGCTGGTGTTTTTGACATTGTCCAGTGAATTTTTATGAGGTACTTTTTGGATTCCAACATTATAATATAGTAGATGAGTTTTGCATACCTCAAGGAAAAAACCACAGAACATTGAAAAGTATAGTCGCCTACTATAGCTTCATGCAGTTAGGCAGGTATTTTCTGCCTGAACACCTCTGTCAGCTCCAACAGGACCCTGGTTCAAACTCCATTGCTACCCCAGGTCTAAATGGGAATACCAGTTCCTATCTGCCTCTTTCTTAGACTTCTAGGGACCAAAGGAGAGAATACATGTGAATTTTTCCCTATTTGGGAATAGTCATCCTACCCTGAGAAGGAAGAAATTATTTTCATTTCAAATGGTGGAAGGGAAATCCTGAATTAAATCAACTGGATCTTTGTGTTTTTTTCTCCCTGTATGTTTAGGGATCTTGAGACGTTGGTATACTTTTTTCAATAAAAACCTAAAAATAAAACTACAAAGCCTTACTTAATAACATTTATTCCCCCAAAAAGGACTTATGTTGAATATAGGTATGTTTGTGATGTTCAAAACATAAATATAACAAAAGAAATGAAAATAACTGACAAGATTAGAAGATAGTTATTATAGCTCTTTGGCAAAATTCAAACACGGAATTCAAATATTATGACATGAAGCCCTGATACTACTGAGTTTAGTTCTGACTTCATGGTACTATCCAAGCCCTTGAGACTGAATTTGTTTGTATGTTTTTCCTGATAAGTTTATCAGTACATTTAAAGGAAACAATACAGTTACATTTATCACTGGGATCTTTTAACTTTGCATGATATATCTTGGTTTTTATTTTTTCCCCATACCCCTGGCCCTCCCTTCACCCGCTTCACCCTTCCCTATTTACAAAGACTTTATTTCCGTTTTTTCCTTTTTCACATTTTTTCTTTTCCCTTATTTCCTTTCCCCTCCCTGCCCACTTCCTCTGTAGTCATTTTTCTTCCTATTTCACACTATCAATTATACCATTTGAACCTTATCTACACTTTTAGTTTTTCACACAAGAGAAACTATTCAGTATTTACTCAAGTGTGTCCTATTTATTTCACCTAAGAGTATAGCCTTAATGTGCATCCATTTAGTTATAAATGTCTCTAGTTTCTCATTCATTATGGCTGAGTAGTACTCCATTTTATAGAAAAACCACATCTTCTTTATCCAAAGATTAAATTGTTAAGTAAGGCCTTAACATACATTAACCTCAAAGCTAATATCTTTATGAAGTCCTCAAATACAGTATGTAAATAGTATGTATGTGTGTGTGTGTGTGTGTGTGTGTGTGTATATATATATACTTTTAAATAAATCATTATGGAAAGGAAAAAATCAATTCCTGAATGAAATCATTCCTAAATTAAATATTTTAAAGGTTTTGACACCAACACCAATCCACACGCATCACCAGGATCACCAGGTCAGACTGGAAGGGACTGAATACCACCCCTGCAAGAGGGAACCTTTTGGGTTGATGGTTTCCATGATAAAATTCTTCTGTGTAGTCATGCTAAGCATATTCCCTTTTGTGTTCCATTTTCTTAAGATCATTTGATTAATGTGAAATGGCTTTTACTTATAAAGATAGATATAAGGTCTTCTACCACAGTGTCTCTGTAGATATTAAGGTACCATATGTCAACACAAATGCAGTTTTCTTGCTGCAGCTCATGCAGTCTGGTCAATGATAAAGCCCAACAAGTGGACAGTGGTTAGTGGGTAACCAATACCAGGAGAAATTGGAGAAAGGCACATACTTTGAACTAAGGGTGTTGAATGTGAACAGCTGAATAGATCAAGGAGTCTGCAATCATTGTAAAGCCCAAGCAAAGTACTACTTGCATTGTTGGTTCCTGCAGTATTCATTTTATCTGATCTTCTTATTAGTATGGCATGGGAAGCAGCACCAAAGCCTCCTTCACTCCATTTGTGGACCCCAGAGTATACCAGACGTCTCCCACTGATGAAGATGAGGAGGATGAAGAGTCATCAGCTGCAGGTAATCGAAAAGGCCCCAGTATCTTAGAAACATCTGGATTTTCTTTTTGAGGTGACCTGATAAGGAAACTTACCACTAGTTTGCTAGTTAAGTCATTAAATTTCTGGGCCCTGTCTTAAAAGGAACAGTTTTTTATGTAGTATTCCTAAAACAAACTTCTTTTGTCTCCCCCTGCCCAGCTTTCCTATTTTTCCTATTCTGCTTCTGATAGGAACCCAGGCATATCCAGGGACCCTAGGAAAAGCTGCTCCTCAGTGGTCTATGAATTTACCACATATTTCACAAAAGCAATTTCTGGGTATAATGCTATGCACACAATAGACAATAAGTGCATGTGAGTCATGTTGAGTTTATGTGTGCTTCCTACCACAAAAGTCTGGCTGATTCGAGGGACAGTCTTGCTTTCTGGACTTCTGTAATTCACTACTTACTAAAGCCAGATAGGTCAACTTGTCAATTGAGAGGATGAAATTTCCAAAAGTTAATCTTTCTTGTATATATTTACAAGAGGTGTAAATTTTGTAAGATTAATATTAATTTTCTAAACCATTTAATTGGTGTCTCTAAGTTTGTTTTACTAATGAATAAAATATTGCTTCTATAAATGACATACTTTATACTACTAAAAGAAGTATAAAATAATTATAGTTTCAGAGTTTCTGTACCTTTAATACACACCAAAGAAGGAATGTTTTCATACTATTTTGAAGTCCCTTCTCCGAATCTCCATTGGTTATCTTTCAAGACGCCATTGACTTCTTTGATTCTTTTTCTCAAAGCTCTGTTTACTAGCGAACTTCTTAGGCAAGAACAGGCCAAACTCAATGAAGCAAGAAAGATTTCCGTGGTAAACGTAAACCCAACCAACATTCGGCCTCATAGCGACACACCAGAAATCAGAAAATACAAGAAACGATTCAACTCAGAAATACTTTGTGCAGCTCTCTGGGGTATGTTTGTACTTTTTCTCCATTCATTAATGAACTGACCCTGAAGCATTAAATTACAATCTGATCTTACCATCAGAAAATACTAGGTGATTCGTAGGTGTTAGGGACCTGGCTCAGGACAATCATGACCTCGGGAGACCAAAAGTAGTTTTGTGTGTAAGACCAGCTGATACTATAATACCAAGAATAATATCTACAAATTTTCCACCACTTAATACTCACCCACTGGGTATCCACCACTGTGTGATGTACCCCACATTCTTTCTCTGTGATCTATACTATGTCCTGCAACGGGAATAGTGGCATTACTTTCATGGCATAGTTAAAAACTAGCCCAGTCTATTTTAGTAAATTCCCTATGCTATGTGACCAAATAATGCATACATACATTTTATATATATATGCCTTCCTTTTAATTTAAAACTTCTACCTTTAGATTTTAACTGATCTCAGACTCAGTGTGTGACAAGATTCTACCACAGTCTTGGTCTCTGTTACTGTAACCTTCATGGGCAGATGCAGATATGGCCCACCCGTACCATACCAGGCCTGGATTTGAGTAATGTAATTTAAAAGGGCTAAAAGAATTTGAGATGTTAGTGGGGAAGAGTATGAACCCTGAAGAACATTGCTTAAGAGGTGTGATGGCACTGTCCTCTGGAGATGAGATAGGTAGATGAGAATGAGACAGTCACGTTTAGTGGACATGCGTGTTTTCAGAAGATAGAAGTATAAGAGAGGTTCAAGAGTTGCACATTCATGAATATAGCCCATTGCCCAGTGAATCTCTTGTGTTGTCTATGTCTCAAGAGGGGGATAATTAACCTTCTTAAACATGGATTTTTAGGACTATTCCTCTCAAGACAAGACCATTTACCTGCCAGAGCTTTTGTAATTAAGAATTACTGTGTGGCAGGTGTGCTATACTGGAAGTCAGTTAAAGTCAGTATTTCTGTGACTCTCAATCTATTAGAACTTTCTCTTACATTTGTTTATCATTTCCCTAGCAGGGTTAACCATTGTGTGAATGAGATATAAGATAGTGAAATGTTTGTGTGAAAAGGCAAAAGAGCTTTCCCCTCCCCAATAGAATATGGAAATGGATCTATCATTTATTGAAGGTTATCACGTTAAGTTCCTGTTAAATCATTGCATGAAGAAATGCGGGGTGTCCCTTGGGGAAGAAAAGAAGTAGAATGTATAAGGAGAATCAAGAAACAGATTTTGCTTGTTATAGGAAGGGAGTAAGGGCAAATTATGCTGCCTTCACAGCCAAGCCTAAGGTTCCTCTTGACAAGCACTCTCTGTCCTAGGTGGCAAATGGCCAGATGTAACAAATGCTGCTATCACTTTATAAAAGAAAACTGTAATTCTATTACCTGAGGGATAGTGATTTAATTATTAAGTCAGAGCTTCAACTTCTGTACTCCTTACTGTAGTACCTACTTGCCCATTGTAGAAAGAACAATTTCTTAGGCATTACAGGGCTCCCAAGTGCAGCATGTTAAAGTCCATAAAAAGTTAACCTTAGGGTGCTTCTTAACTTTGCAGGTGTAAACCTTCTGGTGGGAACTGAAAATGGCCTGATGCTTTTGGACCGAAGTGGGCAAGGAAAAGTCTATAATCTTATCAATAGAAGGCGATTTCAGCAGATGGATGTGCTAGAAGGACTAAATGTTCTTGTGACAATATCAGGTATGTTACTAGGCTGACCTAGTAGTTCTACAGATCTGCGCAGATAGGAAAGGTGATCACATCATTAGTGAAGAAATTGTGAGCTTTGCCTTTCTCAGTCAATGAGCAACACAATAAATTAGAGTAATATTACTAGGGTGAGGTTGTCTACCTGTTTTAAAACTGGAGATTGTAAAATTCAAAGGGAAGATTCACCTCTGCATTAAATATGAGTGAGGCACAAGTGTATAGATATAGATAGAGATATATAGATAGAACTATAGAGAGATAAAGAGATAGGCTTTTATCACTGTCAGGACCTGCAAGCATCTTTTAAATATGTCTATACCTCAGTTCTTGCCATATAATCTGAGATGGAGAATATCAAAATGTAGGCTTCTCAGAAAGAAAGTCAGCTAGCTCTTGTCTGTTGTCTCTCGTCTCACAACAACTTCTGCTAGTAGTTCACTGAGGTTTTGGCAAATATAGCTGGACCTTTGAGTGATGAAATCTGCAAATAGAATGGAGTGGGAGAATCATTATAACTACACTCTGCAGCTTTCTTTTTTCCTAAAGAGAGATTTCTTTTTAATGGGTGGATAAAAATAGTAAGATCCTATTACTGACAAATTTAAAAAACAACGTGGAAGAGTCTATGTTCACTGACAAATTTTTTTCTCTCTAATGGTGTTCAAAGGAGTTGGACAAATGACCTTCTTCCCTTCCCACTCCACCAAAAAGTATGGAATCAACTGTACTATTCCACTTTAGAGACACCTAGGGAGAAGGGACGATCCAGGCTGCAACTCCGATGAGAGTCAGAATTTCTAGGGGTGGGCTCAGGCATCAATAGCATCTATAACTTTTGAGGACTGCCTATCATGTAACCAAATTTCTGAACATGGCTTCACACTGAGTCTTTCTTACATGAAAAGAAAACATAGAGTTTCTGGGTTGAATCTTGAAGAGAATTTAACTCTTCAACTGTACTTCTATTTTGAGACATTTTCTTTACTTGGGACTATAATTCCCTCTTAACTTTCCATTGAACTCTTAAAGTTTTATCCTTCCCAAATAAGAATAAACCAAGTAAATTCTTCTTGTATTATGATTTGAGTTTAATTCTGTGTAGTTCCTTCTTCTGGCTAGTTGCTTTCTTTATTGCTACACTACCAAATCAAAATTAAAATATATTTGCCAGTCACCTACCAAAAGTGGAAATGCTACCAGAAAATCCATAGTCTTTATGATGTTAGTGACAGATTCTCACTTTTAAGAGTTTAACTTTTTCCATTTATCATGAGGCACATATGTGGAAAGAAAAAATTAATATAGGAGCAAAATTTTTTTGAATCACCCTTGGATCTATAGTAGTACAGTGGTACCTCAAATTGTTTTACTAAATTGGATAAGAATTGAAATTTTCTCATAAGGTCAACATTGAAACTAGCCATTGAATTTTAAACAAGGCAGCCATCCTAGCTATCAGGAGCAACACTTATTGTCAGCATCCATTACAAATATGCATAGTAACTATACCATGATTGCCTTAATTTAAATTCTGAATGCACTCTTCTATCATATCCATTGTGCAGTACTCTAATGAATTCTCTTCTTCTGGCATATATCATATCCCTAAAACATAAAACATCTTTAAAGCCAAGGAAAAAGAAGTAAATAGCCAAGAAATAAAATGCACAGACCTAAATTTCTCACTACTTAAGAAGAGCACCCAAAAGCCACTTTCTTCTCTAGTACTCAACTAATCTAATGATGTACTCATATAATCTAATTAAATTTTACTCCTTGTGCACTCTTCCGTACTATCTAGATGTTTTATTATCATCTCATGAATTCTTTACTCCAGATCAGTTTATCAAAGGGAACTTTTAAGTTTTTTTCAAGCCCACAGCTTTTCTTTCATGTTTCTGTTTGATATTTCTTTCAGTGATCTCAGCATATAAATTTGCCCAGTCTCATTTTGTGAACCCAAATTGACTTCATCGAGCTTGTTTCTCTGTCTTCTTTTAAAATTCCTGTTTTGTGGGATTAAATAAAACTACTATCCCACTAATAGTTGTCTGTTATCATATGCTGATCAGTTAGAGAAGAGAGAAACAGGTACACATGAGAATGCTAAACCCTCAGTTGTTGACACCTCTTCGTAGAATTAAATCTAGAATGCTCTGGAACTCTGATCATCCATTCTGTTGCAGAACTGGGTCTAAAAACCCAATAGTAAGGTTGTATTATAATTTTTTCATTTGTTCAGAACATTTGGAGTTACTTTAATCACAAGTCCTGTCAAAGACAGCAGTTTAATAACGTGCATGTGGTACTAGTTATTGATTATGCCTTTACATACAGTATATACATATAGTATAAAAATACTATATAAAATAAAATGGAAAGAAGGAAAGAGAATAAGCTATCGGGAGGGCTTGAAACAAAAGCTGTATTATTTCAACAGGAAAGAAGAATAAACTAAGAGTTTACTATCTGTCCTGGTTAAGAAACAGAATATTACACAATGACCCAGAAGTGGAAAAGAAACAAGGCTGGATCACTGTTGGGGACTTGGAGGGTTGTATTCATTACAAAGTTGGTAAGTCTTAAGTCAAAGGAGTGTAAGTTTCATGTGTTTAACTGAGTCCGAATTATTCAGTTAAATTTTATTTTGCTTTTTTCCTATTAGATGTTGGTGGTGCCTTTGTGGCAAGTTTAAAATGCTGTTGGAAACTTAAATATACTTGAATTATTCCCAAAGAATTAGATTGATAGAGTTCAAAAAATGCATTCAGAATAAAGTTTTAGGCTGCAGTTTGAACATTTACATGCACTTCTTTCCAAGGATCCACTAAAATGACAGTAAAGGAATAAAAATGCCATAAACCTACAAGGTCAAAGAGATCAAGAGAAGACAGAAAACAAGAATATCAATAAAATTAAACAAGAATAACTGGGTGACTCGGGGACAGACCTAGCAGACCAGGAAATGCTGAATTCTAAATCGACAGTAAATCAAAATACTCCGGTCACTTCACAGAACCCAGAAAGGCTCAGGAACCGAGGCCCCAGAAAGTGACAAGTTCCTTAAAGCTTCCAGACTATAAATAAATTAATAAACTGTTTCCTTGTAACAGACCAAGAATTTAAATGGCTTGAGACTTCACAGAAAAAGAAGCAGCTTAAAAAATGAACTAAGACCTTCAAAATTCTGCAAGCAAAATTGCACATAACAAGTATTTATAACCCATCAGTGTTAGGGTTTTCCAGCGAAACAACCAACAGGATATTATGTGCATGTATATGGGGATGTGGAAGGTAGGGGAAGGAGAGACAAGGAATCAGCTCACATGTTTATAGAGCTTGAGAAGCCCCAAGATCTGCCGTCAGCAAGCTGGGAACACAAGAGAGTCAATGGTGTAACTCTAATACAAGTTCAGAGGCCCAAGAACCAGAACTGATAAGGCAGTTTCTGTCAGAAAGCAGGCTAAATACCCAAGAAGACCTTGTAATTGAACCTGACCACAAAGGCAAAATAGAACTGATGTCCCAGCTCAAACAGACAGGAGTACTCTGCTTTTTTGTTCTATTCAGTTGGCCAGACTGTGGGTGCTGTCTGTCTACACTGGAGAGGGCAATAGTCTTTACCCACTATACTGATTTAATGTTACTCTCACCCAGATACACCCTCACAGATACTCCTAGAATAAGGTTTGACCAAATATGTGGCCCCCTGTGGCCCAGTGACATTAACACATAAAAGTAACTGTCATACCACCAAACTGTTAATTTTAAGAGCAGGGTGAAGATATTTTCAGGCCATGTGGAGTCTTTTGAAAAGTAAAACTTCATAAATTTCTCAGGAAGCTACTGGAGGATATGTCTTCCCAAAATAAGGACCTAAACCTGGTAATCTAGGAAAAAGATGAAGAAAACACCAAGAATGACAGTGAAGGGAATCTAGGGTAACAATTCTGCCAACAGCCTAGCAAGAAATCAGTCCTAGAAGAACAGGACAATGCAGATTCCGGAAGAAATGCCTCAAGAAAAAAAAAAATGGTATGAATAGATAGATCACTCACCACTATTGACCATGTTAAGGGTGTTTCCTAGTAGAAAGTTTGGATGTGCTTAGATAGATGTATAGGAAATAAGGAAGCTGAAAAAATGAATAAGGAAATATAATCATGGTTTCTATGTATCTCAGCTGTGAACAGTAATAATGCAAACATTTTCATATTTGTCTAGCCAAAAATTGAAAATATAACTACCCTGGGGGTATGTGAGAGGATGTATTTTATCTACATGAAACAAAGCTAAAGGATAAAGGAAATAGCTTAAGAAACTAAATCCTTTCCATACTATGAGGTCAGTAGATAGTGTCTACAATTAAAAGAAAAGCGCCGGGCATGGTGGCACATGCCTGTAATCCCAGCACTCAGGAGGCTGAGGCAGGAGGATCACTGTGAGTTCGACACCAGCCTGGGCTACATAGTGAGTTCCAGGTCAGTCTCAACTACATAGTGAGACCCTGTCTCAAAAAACAAACAAACAAAAGCAAGAAATAATAAAATAAGCATATTTTTTAAAAATCTGGAAAGAATTTGTGGAAGAAGTAATTAAAAGAGTTGCAAAGGTCTATATCTAGGGAGCAGGAATCAGGCCTATGACTAGGGCTCTTTTTCTTAAGTCTTGTAGAACTATTTGATTCAAAGCTGATAAAAGTAAGAAAATGTGTGAAAGTTCACAAAATATGTTGTGGATAGAGACCATAATTTAATATGAGCAATGCCATTAAAGGAGTAACACAGAACTTTACCTTGGCTTCAGAGGTGTCCATGGTTTGGTCTCAGAAAACCTTGGTGCAGTTTTGAAATTGTAACTGGTAGAATTAGCCCATTCAAGGGTGCTACATGACAGAGGCCAAAACTCAATCAGTTGTATTAAAGACGGAGTATGGAAACACACGTGTTAGAGAAAAGTTCACCCATCCTGGCCTTTCCTGGAAGGAACCTGAGTGTGTCATCTTTGCCATCTAGAGAGAGGAGACTGGTCTGAGGCTGAATCCCCACATCCCTTTCCTCTAATTTCATTCTAAATGACCCTCCCAGACATTTTAATACAAGAAAGTGTGGTACTGGAGAGCTGAAGGTTCTCGTGTATGAAAGGATATGCCCTCTCCTTCACTGCTTAGTAATTACACCTCATTTGGGGTTTTTTTATATCCCTTTATCCTTTTAACATAATGGGCTTATCAATATGCATTTAAAGCAGCTTTTGAAGAAAATAAACATTAGTGTCTATAAGTATGTGTTGCCACAATCGGATCTGTATTGCTTGCTGCCTGGCACCTAGCACAGTACCAGGCACAGAGAAACCAGCCAAACAGGACTAGTTAGTGAAAGGGATTCACTTTCAAGGAACACAGCATCATTCACAGACAACCACATGGGGGAGTATTTCTCCATACCAAGCTGGTGAGGTCCATTCTTAGCTGCTCCATTATGCATTTTTGTTTGGGAAGCAGAATTATTTGGTACTTTTCTAATAAGACAGCCTTTTGTTGTCTTTTATCAAGTTATTTGACAAAGTATCCAATGTGCATCACATTATTTCCACTCCAGGTAGAATTCTGATTCATATTCATATTGGTCTTCTTTTGGAGACAGTAGGTTTCTGTATTTTAGAGCAGGTGTTCCTTTCAGATGAAAGCAATGCATATTTTTTTTCCAATACTGAGGATCAAACTCAGGACCTCATGCTTGTGAAGCAGACACGGTGCCACTGAGCTAAATCCCCTGTGGAAAGCAATGCAATTTCAGTGCTATTATAGAAACAGTTTTAAAGCCACTTCTAAATATTTGTTGAATAAAATTTGTAGAATTTACTTTGGTAATTTTACCTCTATTCCTTGGCATTTGTTAGCCCAAATGTTTCTTGTGATTAAATTTTCTATACATAAACTAATATTGTATGAATACAGAGCAATCACATTTACTGCAGGAAATAATAAAATGTCAGAATGTCCTTTCTTGCTGCAGAAGTTCTGTTCAACCTACAAATCTTCCATTGGCTCATCTATATCTCCGGCCCTTCTAATCATTTTTCTGAGGTTACCAGGCTGACACATCCACACACGCAAAGCCAATTCCATCAGAGAATAATAATTGATAATTATCTTTCTAATGATTGAGACAAACTTAATTTTCAAAAACATTTTTGCCTCAGTCACAAGAACCACTTCCATTCTCCACTTGCTTTCCTAGTGAGATTCCAGCCAAGAAAATACAAAGTCTTCTTGTAAAACATGATCATTCCAGTAAACTCAAATTCCCATGAAACTTCAAAAAAATAAAATGAAAGGATAAAAAAAATCAAATTATATACCCATGAGTCATTTAAGATATTTTATTTTTCTTAGCCTGTGTATACTTAAATAAGCTTTTATTTTCAAGGCTATTTAAGCTGTAATTATGAATCTTTTCCTCTGTGTTAGGCAAGGCTATGAAAGAATAGTCTTTTATTTGTCCTGAAAATCATGGAGACAACTAGAAATTTAATATATTATTATATTAAAACTTTTTCTACCCAATTCCTTTACGACATACAGTATCCTGTTTGTATGGATATTATATGAAGAAAAATGATTGGCATGTGCATCATTTATAGATTACAGATTTTTTAAAAATTTGAAGTCCACATTCAGTAGTGAGAAATCTAAAGTGCATTTAAAGGATCCTGTAACCTGCCAAAGTCATCACTATAAATGTTTGTCATTGTGGTGTCAGACACACATGGACTGTAACAACTCAGGGACTTGAGAGTAGAATCTATTTTTTTTATTCATTTGTTCAATAAGCATTTCTTCAATACTACTTTTTGTAAGGCAAAAATGAAGTAGGTGTGCAATCATTTTACCAAGTCTCTACCCATGAAATTTAGATGTTTAGTACAGTATTCCATTTTCCTAACCCATAAAAGAAATTGTCAAAGTATATAAAACCCTTTAAAATAGGCCACTGGTAAAACCCAGAGCTACTAATGTTCTGCCTCTAATTACAAACATAAACAATTATTTCATTTAATAATTATATTCCCATTTTAATAATAAGCAAGTATTTCCCTTTATGTCTCTACCATTTGCTAAATTTTTCTAACACCTCCCCATACCATGTCTCATCTACTTAACATTTGGGGGTACATAAAAGCCAGGCAAAATAACACGTAGGAAATTATGCAGATCTTTATTACAATGAATATTCATATCCAAAGTTAGTGGTTAAAGACAACTACATCTTTAGATGAAGAAAATACTTCCAATATGAAGCTAAAAAACCCCTAGCTGGGGATTTAGCTCAGTGGTTCCGATGTCTGCCTCGCAAGTGTAAGGTCCTGAGTTCAATCCCTGGCACAAAAATAAATAAATAAATAAATGAATAAATAAATAAATGAATAAATACCCCATGTATTCTGCCAGCCCAGTACAGAAGTTAACTTTGTATTTATTTAAAAAAAAAAAAAAAACAACTCGACACCAGGAGCATGACATTTAAGAACGGGGTGTGTCTAAAGGTATATACTTACATCTTATGGATAATAAATTCATTAATACAAAAACATTGAATAAATCAATGACTTTTTAAATCTATAATGTTTATATTACAGTTAAATATGAAAGGATCAAATTCTTGGTGATTGCCTTAAAGAATGCTGTGGAGATATATGCTTGGGCTCCTAAACCATATCATAAGTTCATGGCATTTAAGGTAAGTAGGAAAATGCTTGCTTTTTTTTTTTTTAATTTTTATTTTCAGTTTCCACAAGTGGTCTGTTTTCTATATAAATCAATACCAATTTTACTATATATGTCATCAGTAAACCCATTTGAAAAGTGAAGATATTGATGGGTTTATTATTTCAAAGGTTAAAAATTAAGTAGAAAAGATGCTATAAAATCAGGCAACTTCAAATTTATATTTGATCTCCTTTATTTGGAGTCTATGAATCATTGTCTTTAAGGCACATTCAATATATAATTACCAGGAAAAATATGAATTTTTTAATTATATAATAATACTTGTTGTAAAGCTACCTAGAATACTGTCTGATATTTTGTCACAAAATGGCAGCACTGAATTTCAAAGTTAAACTGGGTCTGCAACTCCTCTAATTATCATGAACCTTTCTGGATTAAATCTCTAGAACTCAACTGATGCCCGTATATCCCTGTCACTATTAAGTCTTCTCTGAAATGATTATTGACTATGCTTGGTTATAGAAATGACCTAGTTTTCTCTACATTCTCCCATTTTGATTGCCTTTTTATTTTTTTATTTTTTGGTTTGTTTGTTTATTTATTGCATGGTCCCTGAATCTGTACTTGACATAGTTGGAACAATTCCTATGAATCAACAGAAGTAAGATGGGGATATCCTAGTTCCATCGATCCTAGCTCATGAAAGCTGACCCAAGAGTCTAAAGGACCAGTATTTTCAGGCAGCTTGGTGTGCTCTGAGACACAAAGCCTTTCTATAGCCAGAGTCAATTTATCCTCCATTTTCTTTTTGTATAGCTCATGGCCCTCACTCTTTCTCCCCACCTTTATGAATGTCATCTCTCTTCGGTTCCATTTATTCTTTCCTGCCACATATGCCACATGTGAGAGAAGAAGCTGCCTTAGGAACATGACATTAGCCTTTGAGCCTGAATCACCCCACTTCTTTTTCGCTTAGAGCAGGTAGCTCATTTGTGGTGTGCTCAGAAAGATGGATTCATCAGCAGATATGGGCTCCCCTCTATGATCCTCCTTTTATGGACAGCAATTTTTGAAATGCACGAGGGTCTTAATAACCCTTTAGCAATGGCTCCCAAAAGTTAATGTGGTGCTACTGTTCTGCCAAAATCTCTCTCTGTAAAAGCTTTTCAGTCAAGCTCTCATTCCCATTCTGACCCAGAAGTTACTGCCATCAAGTTACTGGCCAAAGCCCATGAGAGGCTGCGAAACACTCTGTTCAACAGAGAAGCCCCAGTCTCAAAAGAAGAAAGAAAAAGGCAAGAACTTGAATGGGAAAGACTGGAGCTATCAGGAGATCCAGCCTTTCCATAGGACAAGGATGGGAGACAAAATCTGTGCTGCGAGAATGACATTAGCAAAAGATGAGGGAAAGGTGTGACAGGTGATAGTGGTATCATGACCAAGGAAGTTTTGATTTCTCAAATCCTCCCCTAAGTTTCAAAGTCCAAAAAGGTGTTATTAAATCACATTAGAGGAACATTTGACAGCTAGTTTGGGCTTGGGCCCTGAATTCAAGATTACAAAACCTTGATAAACTTGGCTAGAACTCTTATTTACTACTTTTCTAGTAAAATCTTAGTGCCCACTTCAAGCCTTGGGTCTTCTTGTCTTTCATCCCTGATATTTTCTCTTACTTTCCAAACCTATCTCAAATTTCAACATTGACTTTAGAAAGAGTGCCACTCTGATACCCATTCAATCACTGAAGGAAATTGTTACCAGAACATGCTCACTAATCCTAAAAAGGCTCAGCACAGAGAAGGTCACGTCTTCCAACCCCAGGGTATCTCTGAAAGGCAGCCACCACAGATGGACCACATAAGAAAGAGAGGGACCAGAGAGGTCACTGGATCTTCTCCAGAGGGCAAAGGCCAGAAATAAACAGGAAATAACAGCAGGACCCAGGCATCAAGGTTTCAATATATAATGACACTCAAATTGGCATCTGTAAACCACCTTCTCTGCCCTGCAGGACCAAAAATGGAGAAAAGGGCACCAATGCGTGCTAGACTCTTCCTCCTAGAGCCAGAAGATGAATAAATTTAAAACTGGGACTGAAACTTTCTGGCTTTTCAACTGGAAAAAATGGCAAAAATTAGCTTCTTCAAGAAGTATGGTGGATGCTAACGGGGTGACTTTTATAGTCTTTTGCAGATCTTCAGCACAAGCCTCTACTAGTTGACCTCACTGTGGAAGAAGGTCAAAGGTTAAAGGTTATTTTTGGCTCACACACTGGTTTCCATGTAATTGATGTTGATTCAGGAAACTCTTATGATATCTACATACCTTCTCATGTAAGTTCCTAGAAGCAGGCTGTAAAGGGCTCTCTGTATAATAGCCTGACTGTAGAAGAAAGTTTGTTTCTGCATATTTTTAGTAGAAATCATGCTTTTACTAACTGGTACAGCACATGGACTTTGGGCCTTCACTAAATTGAGAAGGTCTTTAAGAAATAAAACGTACATTTAACATATTTACATGTGTTTTTTAGTTTCTATCTTCAGTATGAAGGCATTGTGTACAGGGGTCAGATACACTGGAGTTCATACTCTGGCTATAGCATGTATAATTTCATAATAATGTGCACATTGGTCAGCCTTTCCAACCCACACCTTTCGCTTGTATAAATGCAGATAGAAAGGCTATCCCCCGCTATCCTCTAGGTTTATCTCAGCATTAAATGAGATAATGATTCTAAAGTACTTGGCCCGGGGCTCTAAAAATTGTGTTTCTTCTTATTAACAATATAACATTCAAATTACTACACTGATGCATTGCCTAAAACATGCTCTTTTGGGAAATGCTGCGTGGATGCATTCATTGGAACTGGTCAGTATAAGCCATGTGTCCTATGTGTAATCACTGTCAGCTTTGGGATTGTATACAATACATCCGGAAAGTCAGAGGCTTAATCCATTGCTAAGTGGTATTCTGAGACTTTGAAGTCTTTACCCCCCAAAAAATTCAATCACTTGAAAAAAGTTGTTTTAGCATATCACACACATACACATGCACACGTGCACACATACATATCTCATTCATTGCTCGTTACACTTTTCATCATGCTTACATTCTTAGTGAAGCAGTGGGAAATCTCTGTGAGCACCCTCAGTAACCCCTTCCTACCTATCAAGCACATACTGGGCTTCCAGGACATTCTCAACCAGGGGATCACAACTGTGCCACCTCTCTCTGCCTAGGACAAGTCAATCTACATTTCTTGCAATAGTATGATTTTTTAATGAGTGGTAATTCCAGTTTTCCCCTAAACAAACCATTAATTTGGATTATTCTACTGTTGAAGCACTCATAAACAGGCTGTATTATACACTCATGGCCTGCTTGGTAGAATTCCATGTTGGCCTCATTTCAGTGCTCTCCATCTCATTCAGCTGATTTGCATTCTCCTCATCTTTGTTGGAAGTAGTAATTCTAACAGAAAACATGTGGATTTCAACATCAGTAAAACATGTCCTCAAATTCTATTACCAAATATAAGTACAGCTTCAATTAAATTATATAAAACTTCTGAGATGAAGTGTCCTCATCTGTAGACAAGGTTATGTACCACGAGAAGCTGAACTAAGGACTAAAAGTATATATGGAAAAGACCCAGTGCTTGGCACAAACTCGGTATTCCATAGATAGTATATTATTGGTTTTAGAAAAAAATAAATTGGACTCCAGTGCTTGGCACAAACTCGGTATTCCATAGATAGTATATTACTGGTTTTAGAAAAAAATAAATTGGACCCTTGATGTAGTAACTACATTTGTTTTTATCAAGGTATTTGATAGGTCCACAGTTAAACTAAATGCAATCTCTAGAGTAAAAGTGGGAAAAAAATGTTGCAATTCTTAGAGATGAAAGTTGAGGTGTCATCTCGATTTTTAAAATAATGCTTGGCCTTTCTTTGTCTTCTAGATTCAGGGCAACATCACTCCTCATGCTATTGTCATCTTGCCTAAAACAGATGGAATGGAAATGCTCGTTTGCTATGAGGATGAGGGGGTGTATGTGAACACCTATGGCCGGATAACTAAGGATGTGGTGCTCCAATGGGGAGAAATGCCCACATCTGTGGGTAGGTTAACCATTCCTTATCTCCTTCAGCAGTTACACCCCCCAAATGAAACGAAAGTCAAGAAATGTGAAACAACCATTTGAGTCCACAAAAAAGTCTGTGAATAACACTTGTAAGACTTGCTTTGTGTGTTAATCTCGAGTTGTTTGTCATTTTTGTGGTTAAGATGTGAACAGATGCTGTGAGTTATTGCCCATCTAATGTTTTTAATGCAGTTTTGGAAATTCCTTTTGACAGCTTACATTCATTCCAATCAGATAATGGGCTGGGGCGAGAAAGCTATTGAGATCCGGTCAGTGGAAACAGGACATTTGGATGGAGTATTTATGCATAAGCGAGCTCAAAGGTTAAAGTTTCTATGTGAAAGAAATGATAAGGTAAATCCGTTTCAACATTTGCATTAGTGTTTGCATTTTAAGAGACCACCAGGTACCTGTGAAACCTTCATTTTCCTCTATACTGATTTGAATCACATCTGTGTAAAACAATATTATCTTGAAATGGCATTATTTGGTTTGATTCATGTGAACACTCAAAATATATTATTCACATATCAAAACAAACACACAACATCTAAAAATTTCTTGTAAAATCTTAGCAACTTTTGTGGCCTGTAGGCCTCATGATAACTTAGTGACACCCCAAATTCTCCTAAGCACTTAGAGCAGTTGGTCTATCATTGTTATCTCACAGTGGGTCAACTTTATACTTCCACTTTTAGACTCTTCACAAAGTCGCTATCAGGATCAAACCCTCACATTATATTCACCCATCAGTATAACACATTTGCCATGTAAACTTTTAGAAAACATCATCCATTCTTTGAGAAATACACAATCACCAACTCAACTAGTGCCATGTCCTGTGTCATTCCAGCCATGTTTCTTCTAAAATGTCATAAGGGGACTGTTATCCAGTGAAGTCAGCCATGTCCATACAGCATGACTAGTCACCTCTGAAGGGTATTCTGTAACAGTGTGGCTTCTACCTTGTCTTCCCTCTAGAGAACCCTAGAGTTTTTAGTAGCTAAACTATACTGCATTTGTGAATTCATCCTTTGTGGCTGTGGCCAAAATAGAAATACTGTCCCCCAGAGTATCAGACATAAACACCCAGAGAAAATAGCATGACGGGTAGAACTATTGTATCTCTTTGCTCACCCTGATTCCCCAGAGGCTAGAATGGTCTTCATCCAACACTGTGATGTTGGCCTAGCCTACCATGATTTACTCTGGCCAGCTACTCTGACTTGGTGTGGTATAGGTGGACAGTAGCTGTGGGTGGCAGTGATGGTACCAGTGACTTAAGAGCATATGGGGAAACAGACCTAAGCTATTAAGACTCCACCCAGCACCCACCCAGTCTCTGGAGATGATAAGACTAGGAGTAATCTGGATTTAGACACCCAGACTCTGGTTCCCTGATGACCCACCCCAACAGCCTGTTCATCCAGGCCCACACCTTTAGGAGTAGACTGGGACCACACCAGTGTCTGGGGCCCAAGGTTTAGAGCTAAGGACACACAACCAGAGAAAACAGCAGCCTTTTCTTTTCTACCTTATGGTTTTCCTTGGGTCCTCTCTGTCCTTTCCCATTTTTGATTCCTTGAACCCAAAAGTAGCTTTACTTTCATATGTAGCATTAGTTGAATGACAAGAATTTCTACAGGCTTCTTAAGAAGTTGTTGGAAGAGAGCATTCTTCTAAAGAAGTTGGGCAAATGAGATAGCAAGAGACTTTATACTGGTGACAAAAGCAAATGCCTTGACCAAAGTTAGGTGTTGGCTGACTGAAGGGCTATGCCACAGCCCAAAACATTTATTTCCTGGGGCAGTGGTTCATTTAGATTCAACTCAAGCAAGCAGTAACCCAAATCCTGCTCACTCTTCTCTGTTGCTTGATAAAGTGATTTAACAGAGTCAGACCTAATGGACTATTGTTCTACTTATTAATGCCACTATCTCATTCTGCCTAGCATATGCCAGCATCAGCAGAGACACGAAGTGTTAACTCTTGAAGTGCCAAAGTGAATGGGCATTAAACACTTATTGCCCTACCTGACCACAACCATTTACATTTATTTGGGAATTGGCAGGGATTCTCTTAAGTCTGGTCTGCATTTGTGTCGTTTTTGAGGCAGAGAAGGGGAGCCTCTGTGCCTTTCTAGAAACCATCAAAGGACTTGTTGTTGTACCCTAGGCCAGAAGTCTAGCACACTGTCCTAGCATGAAACTCCCTTTTAAAATGTGAGCACCCAAAGGGATGTCACAATCAGGATAGAGCCCCTGTAGTGTCCCTGGAGGCCAATACTGTAAAAATTTAATAATATCAACCATAGCAATACAGGCAGGTGTGTTTACATTGGATGCACTGTCTCCAAAGGCACTTTATAAGCACCAGCCATTGGGAGTCTTAAGAGCTGACACATGGCAAAGATAGGACATGTGAAAGGAAATGGATGGACAGTTGAAGAAAAGAGGGGAAAAAACCATACAGTTGAACTAACTTGTTTTTAATTTCAAACAGGTATTTTTTGCATCCGTGCGATCTGGAGGAAGTAGCCAAGTGTTTTTCATGACCCTCAACAGAAATTCCATGATGAACTGGTAACAGAAGAGCACTTGGCACTTGTCTTCATGGCGTTATTTCTAATGTAAAAGAACATAACTCATGTGGACTTATGCCAGTCTAGAGGCAGAATCAGAAGGCTTGGTTGAACATACGCTTTCCCCTTTTCCTCTCCCTCCACCCCTCCCAAAAGAGTCCATCTTTCAGTGTTGCAGCCTGGTTGCGAAGGAGAGAAAAAGGTGGCAGGAATGTCCAGGAGATCCCCCAAGGATGCTGAGTTATTTGTGGACAAAGATGGACCATGTACCCTTCGGAGTTAGGGATAGAAACAAATATTGTGTGCTCTTATGATTAAGCTGTGTTATGGTGGCGTTTGAATTTTTTTACCTTTTCCTTTAACCCCTTATTTTGTAAGAATGGGAGAGATATATACTGAAAAAATGAATCTTTTTAATTGTCTGCCTGCTAGTTTTAAGTATACAATATGTTGTAAAATTTCCCATTTCCAACGGTAAGAGACAGCACAATAAATGTACCTTATCTCCTTACGCTGAAGACCATAAACTGCATAGTGGGGATAATTTAAGAACTCTTGCCTTCACCAACCCAAATGGTTGCTTTTTGACAGCAACTGGCTAATGAGTTTTTAAAAGAGAAGAAAAATACTAGTTTTCCCCTCTTTTGGGAAATAGATTTTAAATGGCTAAACTACTAGCCTTAGTCTAATAAAATCAACCACCACTTTTGTGATTCTCACAGGCCATATTTTCATGTGGCCCTTTATAGAATGGAATACGTTGAATGGGATAGAAATGCCATTGAGTTGAGTGGGCCTAGCGACTGAGGAGGGACTCTAATGCAACTTTCCCTCAGCTGTTATGCAACAAATCAGGGCAAAAGATGGGGCGACAGACGGGTCAGACAGGAAGAGCTTCTGGGAAACAAGTATATATATATATCCTTTTTTAAATGCACAAAGCCTCCCAGTTAAGAGGTCACTTGGTTTGGGCTTCATTAAGACTGAGACTTTGTTGAGTTCTTTCTGGGCCTTGGGGAATGAATGATATTCAGTCTCTGGACATTCCCAACTCTCTCGTGAGGGTGCCACTTTCTCAAGATGAAAACTGTGACTGAAAACAATTAATAATAAATGTTTTTGAGCTGCCTGTGTTTTCCCTGGGTTGGTGAGAGAAGGGACTAGAGTCCTGAGCCTGCCTCAGATGCAGCAGGCTCAGGTTTTAGAGAACTTGAAAACAAGGCTTTTGGCCAAAATTTTGAGACCCTAATCACTTTACCTTCCTCCAAAATACCCAACATACAGTAAACAACATTTGTGCAGAGATATGTATGTATTTAGTTCAGGTTGACTTGTGTCCTTATAAACTCTTACTCGAATGATTTGAACTTTTACGTGACTGTCTGAGGTTTTTTTCCAAAGCTACAAGCATGGCCGCCTGTGGTATCAAGGTGTTGCAAAACAATATCTGTGTTGTGCTTCCTGTTTTAACCTACCTCGTTTTGTTAATTTTCGTTTCACTGTTCATCACAGCAGTGTTAACTCCAGGAGACATATAGAGAGCTCAACTGGCAATCTCAGGTGTATTTAATATTTTTAAAACATAACAGTAGTTGGCCAAATTGTTCTTTAAAATACTAGTGGGGGGATCCAACAAAAATTAATGTGGCTTCTTTTGGAGAAAGCAATTACTATAAATGGAAACCCCTCCCCCAAAAAAGTGATCCTTTTGATGTTGCCTAAATACTTGAGCAGCTGATGTACTATTAATGAGAACGAAACACACGTTAGGAAAATGGTGCCGTTTCAATCTGGTTTGGGCAAGTGGGGGAAAGGAAAAGGAAATATTCTCATTTTTGGTTTAGATATTTATGCCCCACCCACCCTAAAAGTTGCCATTTTCATTTATTTTTTAAGCAGGTAACACGGGAATATAATTGAGGATTATCTTCAGGCAATCACCAAGATGTCCTCATCATGGCCCCTTTTAGCTCTCAGAAACAATGAAATGCTCCCGTTCTCATTTTTACCGCTGTGATTATGCTGCTGAACAATACTATCTTCAGAAATTCCATGCAACAAATTCAGCAATAACTTTTTGGATTGAATTTAGCAACTACTGTAATTGGATATTAATATGGACAAAATATATTGATTTGGGTCTCATCCCCAAATGTGATTGCCACCAGCTCTTTATATTGCTGCTGTGGTATTTTAAACCAGATGCTTTTTTAAATTATGTTGCAAACTGATCTTTGTTTTTATGTTTTGTTTTGTTTTTATTTCTAAGTGATAAGTTCAAAACACACAGCTTTAAATGATTTTTTATTGTGGGAATTTTGGGTACAGTTAAGAAATAAAAGGGAATCATTGTGTTCAAACATAAGGTAGTTTGTGAATGTATTTTTTAAAATCTAGATTCATTGAAGCAAGAAATCATAAGAAAACAATATTAATGCAGTCTTGTTTACAGTATGTACAGTGGCATAACATAGAACATGAGCTTTTCTGGTGCCAACAACAATAAAACACAGACGTTAACCATCAAGCCCTGCCTTTTATATTTTTGTACAAGTCGTTTACACTGATTATAAGGCAAAACCAAATTTAAAAGGGTCCTGCACAAATCTGCTCCTTAAGACATATTTATAGAATTCCTTGAAGCTTGTATCGTCAGATAGAGATAATTCTCCATCTGGACAGGCCCCAGCCCTAATATAGTGTATTCTTGTGGCTCACACAGTTCTCAGTGTTTTGGTTGGCTTTAATTTTTCTTTCAGAGGGGTGTTTATTTCATTCATCTTAATAGTGTCTTTTTTTTCTTTTCTTTTTTTTTTTTTTGGTACCAGGGATCGAATTTGGGTCCTTGTGCTTGCAAGGCAGGCAGTGGAACCACTGAGCTAAATCCCTGGCCCTTAATAGTATCTTAATAAAAGTACCTAGTTTTAATCTTCTTGTAAGGGATTTTGTTCCTAAAATCTGAAGATACTAAGCCGAGCCCCCTAAGTAAGTTTTATTAAATCAGTCAGTTCTTGTTGCACTGAATTGATGATTATCCACCAAAATTAATTGAGCCCATCCATACCAGTCTTTGTCCAGAATCTGGCAGGTGATCAGCCTTCCTGGGGTGCTGGCTGTGGGAGCTGTAGCCTGAATTCCTGAATCCTGTGTGTGGTAGAAATGGATGAGCTATAAGGCCCCTTCATATAATTATAGTCTTCCCCATCCCAGTTTCATTCAGATCATTGTCACTATACACAATATAAATAATTTCACATAAAATCGAGTCAGTCTATTCATAAACATCTCACTATTTTTCATGGAAATGTTCTTGGGGTGGGGGATGAGACAAGGTCTGGCTTAGTAGTTCAGGCTGACCTGGAACTCACTATTTAGCGCAGGCTATCCTCGAACTCACAGGGATATTCCTGCTTCTATCTTCCAAGTGCTGGGATTACAGACATGCACCATCATGCCCAGCTTTGAAACTTTTAAGTAATGTTTCAAGAAGACCTGAACCTATTCATTCAACAAGGTAGATTAAAGTTTGGGTGAAATCTCACAAGGACAAGGGCTCTATTTTTCTAACACTTCAATATTGCTTTCTAAGATGCATTCCTAATATACCTTACATCAAGCACACATTTTTAAAAAGCATCTTAATTCCTGGTTGGCATGACCTACTAACAGTTTTCTGTCTGCTCTTGTGACTTATTGGTAAATGGTGTCTCTAGTCCTCCTTGTGCAGTAGATTAGAAAGAAGTGTGCTATTCAGACTAGAGCCATTTGGTTTTGTACACTGTCAGAAAGGGCTGACGTCTGACCTTACATTCCTTGAAGTTAAAAAAATAAAAATAAAAAGCTTTCCCTATTATGTGTTATCAGGTCCTGTCAATGTATTCTTGAAACATGGAAGAGCTCTTTGTGTTAGCGTGTTCTGTCTTTGAAAGTCTGCTTGAACAGGCATCATTGTATTTGTGTTGATTGCTTTGAAATGTTAGATTGCTACATTATTTTTTAAAAGGAAGATGCAGTTATGGGTCAAACTTAAGTGTCAATACTAATGTTCTGCAGGAACACATGAGAAGACCTACAATCTGTTGTAACAATTCTGAGTCTGCATGCTACCAAGCAGACCTTCTGTGCATACTGTATTCTGACCATCTCAACAGTTTCTGTAAACTGTTAGTCACTTTGTAGTTTACTTTTCAAGAGCTTAAATTAAGCAAATCAAACAAAAATAATAAACCATTCCATCAAACAAAAACTGACCCCAAGTCTACATAGTTATAACACAAAAATCCAAAATCCCAAATTTGTTTTATCTGCCAATATTTCTCATAAATATCATTGTACTTTGGCCTGACTGATGATATCAATAACCCTAAAATGAGCTGCCTTTCGTTGAGTCTCAAATAAAATGGGTATAAACCAATCTCTTCTCAGGAGCCTCAGCAAAGAAGAAAACCTTTTAAGAATTTGAAGGTTCAAAACTGACAGTCTGAACATTTCTACTAAATGTTTTCTCATGTTTTGATTTCCATGTGGTATCATTGTTCTGGGAATTTTTCCATAGATAACTAAATCATACAACCATTTGCATAAAGCTAAACAGTATTAGATCATAATCTGTGCTTTGAACATTATTCTTCCAGACATGCCATCCCACAAAGGGCCAGAATGCACCATAAAAGTATTTTTTAAACAAAAAACCTTGAGTAAGTTTTGAGGTTTTTTTTTTTTTGGTACTGGGGATCAAACTCAGGTCCTTCTGCTTGCATGGCAGGCAGCAGAACCACTAAGGTAAATCTCCAGCCCTTCAGCTATTTTAAATCAAAATCAAAATCTTGGTACCTGCATACATGATGACAAATATTGGCAGGAAAATAGAAAATATAGTTAAAAATAAAAATTTCCTAAAACTTCCAGGGTTTTGGCTTTGTGTACTTATCTACAAGCTAATTCACTCTGCGTGAAAAGGTTCAGTTTTGATGATTTATTTTTCATTAGCACCAAGTTGTACCACACCACTGAGGCCCAGCAAATGCTGGTGGAAAGGTGACTTTTCATTTCCATCCATGGAGCACAAGTTATACAAAACAAATATTTGTACCCCAGTCCTCCTGTTTCTTATCTCGTCCCTTGGGATAAGTGTTAAAGAACAGTAATACTTATTATGGCTGATTTAAGACACCAAAATTATCAGAAATTATCCCAATTCAAAATTTCAAATATTAAGTTAGGAAAAAAAGGAGGAAAGCCTGGGTGAATTTTAAAACTGGATGTCATTAAACTACTTGTGTACATGTTAGCTATCTTTTATGCAATGTTAACATAACTGTAGAAAGTTGCCAAATTTACAATATTAGAAGGGAAAACTATCATTTTTCTATATCTGTAATTGTTTATATTTTCAAAACTAATTTTCTAACTGTTTGAATTTGTCAAAAATTTTCTGAAATTGAATATAGATATACCTGGTATATTTCCCCATCTGAAACTTTTACTTTGAAGTATTCTTTTTCCTGCATGCAAAAATTATTTAGGAAGTAGCAGTTGTTCCACACAGTTGTTAGAAATGCTTTGCTAGATTCTCAACCCAGGTGTCTTATCTGTTATCTCCAGGGTATTATTATTTTATTCTGTCAAATGTGAACAATGAAATATTAGTAGTAAGACACCTTTTTACTCTCACCACTTCCAGACCATGATCCCTCCCTTCTCTTAACACCCACTTCTTTGAAGCTTTTGCCATCTGCCTACGATGCTTTACCCTGCTTTACCCTGTTTCCCCTCGTTTTTCAAGTATTTTAGCTCTTAGCTCACTTTCTCCAACATCACTCTTTGTTAATTCTGTATCATTTCAATATTCAGTTAGACCATTTCCAAAGATTCTGGCTTCTTAGTTTCCTGATTTTGTCCAGCAAAATAGCATTACCAGTTACTACATCAAATCCGTAGGTGAGACTGGACTATTCTTCCCATTTGCTCTAAGTATATCCATCAAACCTCTCAAAATAAAGGCCACTGTCTCAGCAATGTTTTTTCTGTCTTTCATAATATCAGTGTTTCTATTGGAGGATTTCAGGGCATTCATGTTGTATGGTAGCCTGTCACAAATACTCTGCTTGGTCCCACTACCTCCTCTTACTTGTCTGCTTCCCCCAAGAGGAGTTTTCTACACTTACTGTCTAAACTTTATTTCTTCCTTGGTCTCTTGAGCCAACTCCAATCTGCCTTTCATCCCACCATAGTATCTTGGTAGGGACACTAGTGATCACACAGTCAAATACCCTGGTGAGGTCTCTAACACCATGATGCTTGACTCATCTATGCTCTTTGACACCATAACTACTTCCTTCTTCAAATACTTTCTTGGCTTATGGACAGCCCTCCTGTTCTCTTCCTTCCCCTGCTACTACTTCTTAGTCTGAGTTCCAGATGTATCCCATACTGGGAAACCTCTCTTTGAGTGACATTTTCCAGTCTTGAGACATCAAAGACATGTATATGCTGACAAAATCCACATTTTTATCTTCAGCCTCAACCTCTTTCCTGAATGTCAAATTTATATGTCTAACTTCCTACTTGACCTCTTCATTTGGATTCATAACTGACATGTCAAGCTGGATGTACCTAAAAGTAAACTAATTTGCTCCCCACCCACCAATGTATTTCCACTGAAGTCCTCATGTCAGTACCTTCATTTTTCCACACCAGAAAATCTTCTTGTCACCCTAATTTCCTTACACACCACACCTAATTCATTTTTAAAATCCAGCTGTCCTTAGCTTCAGAGCATGTCTGTAATCCAAACTGAGTAATAGCCTCTTCTTGCCTGACATGATGCTTTTAAAACAGTCCAAAATATGTCATCATTTAGCTAATCCCTCAATATGTTCCCTCTTGCTCACAATGTCAACATCTTTACATGGCTGATCAAGCTGTGAAATAGTCTGTCCTATCTTTTCCCCAACCACCACTACCATGCCTTTGACTTTGTCTACTATTTCCCTTATTCACTGCTCTCCAGCCACTTGGGCCTCCTTGCTTCAGCCAGAGTGCCCATCAAGCAGGTTCCTGAAAGGGACATTTGCCCCTGCTGCTCCTCAGTCTGGAAGTAACTTCCCCCACATGTCTGCATGGCTTGCTATTTCCCTTCCTTTTTGTCCATGCACAATTATTATTTTGCTGTTATAGATGTGCAGAAAATAATGTTCAATTTCCCAGTCATTTTCTTTTTTGCTTTATTGCCTTTCATAGCACTTATTACCATCTACTTTGCTCAGTGGTCTATCTCCAGTGCTGTGAATACCTGGCAAATAATAGTCACTCAGTGAGTGAAATAACTGAAAATAAATTATGGAGTTTTAGGATTTTAAAAGATATACTACTATATAGCTTACTTTAATTCCAATATCAAAACAAAAAATCTGTCTCTGATTTTATATCATAAAAACAAAGGTTTGCTTTCACATAAAAAAAACAGAAAATCTTACAGCTTTTTTTCTCCTGGAAGACTATTATGGATGCAAGACACCTGGCTGTGAGCCTAGCTGTATTTTCTTGCTCCATGAATCATCTTTACAGATCAAGTTGCAGGATTAGAAGAGAGGCTATCACAAAGAACCCTTAGAAAAGAAGCATTTCAAAACAAATTTATATGGATAATGATCCATTTAAAGTTACTGCCAGGGGCCGGGGATTTAGCTCAGCAGTTCGGTGGCCTGCCTTGCAAGAGCAAGGACCCAAGTTCAATCCCTGGTACCAAAAATAAATAAATAAATAAATAAAGTTACTGCCATTGCAATAGGT